TAATCAATATATTAATAGATAATAATAGATATTAATATCACTTATGGCTCAAAACATGTCCATCTGTGGAGACAATAAGTGTCACAATTTTAAGACAATTTTAGATTTAAGTGAAAACTATAAAACGACCGCAAATTCTCTGAATTGCGGTTTATTTGTTGTGGCAATCCTTCCCATTGTGGCCATTATTGTCGCACTTTTAATGTGGAAATTATGTAAAACTAATATAAATGATGGCATTCGTGAGAGAAGAAGACATTCAGACATCAATTCATCGATTTCTAACCACGAATCCAATTATTAAACACAATAATAAGACTATTGTTTGCGTAAGAATTGTTGTAATAATTATTTTATTTTAATGTGTACTTTATATTATTGTTAATATTAAAATTTGTAGAAAATGTGGGTTTACTTATCTATATGTTATAATTTATAATAGATACGTATGTCTATGATTAAATGTATCATTAAGTTTGTATTTAATAAATTTTAATTATCAAAATTTAATTTTATATATTGTATATTCAAGTTTTATAAAAATACTAAATATTGATATACAGATGTGTATTACATGTTATGTATTACTAAGATTACTAATATTATATTGTACTTCTTGCACTTATTTACTTTAATAATGGTACTTGACTTTTACGTTAAGATATAATATACTATTATGTGAATTTAAAATACATTAATTCTCATATCAAAGTATTTGTTTTATAGTTTAACATTATTGTTTTTCAGCTATAAATACTAAATCTACCGTAGCTATCAATATAACGAATGTAACAAAGTATATTTATTATTCTACAATTTAGGTTTAATTTATTACATGTATTATAAATATTTAATTTAAATACAGTGTGAAGTGTATGTGTGTACGTGTAATGTGAAGAGCATTGTATTTAACTATTTTAACGGTTAATAGTATTACTTCCAGACTCGGGATGTGAACCGATAATGTATTTAGAGTAATACCTACAATGCAATGCTCTGGTCATGTGCTATATGCTAAACAATATGAGAGGATAACATGTTGTACATTATATCAATATTATAAATAAAATAACCATATAAACTTTATATTATAAAGCACATACTTCCAGACACAACCATAACTTTTTTTCTTAAAAGTAGATTATTTTTATTTGCCATTAACTGTAAGTCGAGAATAGACTGTTTGTTTTGATGTAATTATAACTTTGAAGAATTGATTGAAGCGTTGGACAGGTTTTGTTGAGCGTATTTATCGGTTAGCATTAGATAATGAGGATCCGGATCGTTAGCATCACCCAAATGGGGCATATAATCAGCTCTTGAATAGTAATTCTCTGCCGGATTTGAGTACTCGTTATCCTTATAATTATTGTCGTACAAAACGTCGGCGTAATTCTCTTCATGTATTACAGAATCGGTTTGTCTATTGGTTTGCATTAATCTCTTCTGACGGATAAACAAATAGACAATAAATGGTATAACAATTAAAAGTATTAATGAACTAATAATTGAAACAATTGTCGAAATGTTTAAATCCCANCTTCTGACGGATAAACAAATAGACAATAAATGGTATAACAATTAAAAGTATTAATGAACTAATAATTGAAACAATTGTCGAAATGTTTAAATCCCAGGGTTTTGTCCATCTTATGGACGACATAACAGTCGCACATATTTGGTCGCTCGACGTCCGGTCTTCGGTAGTATTGAATGTCTTACTAATCGAGTGATTGCTAACCATTTGATAGACTCTAACGTAATCGACAATAAGCGCAGAGCACTCCCAGTCGTGAAAGTCATTAATACTGAGCACTTGATTGGGAAAGAAGTTTCCGCCGACGCCTAAGTTTATGGCTATTTTAAACGGCTTTCCCACAAATGGCTCACCGTTTCGGGTGTAATGTGACGATAGTTTTTCACTTAAATTAAAAGTTAAATGATTTATGTCATCAAAAAACCATTTGATATGCGATTTATGCCACTCAACAGCGTATGTGTGAAACTGATTGAGACGTGTTTTAGCGATGTATTCATAAGCGGTGGGTTTATATATGGCGGGCGATGTACTGAAGTGAACACCATTTCCCAGGCCTTGTGTCTGAATATTTGTCATGATATCAATCTGACCGGCAATAGCCCACTGGCCGGGAGAGAGTGACTCCATAACCATCACTGGTCTTAACATTTTGCCCTTCGGTAGAGCGGCTCTAATCTCGAAGCGGCCATAAGTCCAGCCCTTTTTGGTTTTAATTTTAGCCGAAGTGTACTCTTTCTCTAAAACATTCTCCTTTTCGTGAGCGGCTGTTATGGCGAGACAGCCGTCTATTAGTTGCAAATTTCTACTTTGGTTTACATTGCAATTCAGTTGTCCGATATGATTGCCTGACATCACAAACACAACGTATACTCGCTTTAAAACTTATTAAACGTAATCATTGATTATATTACAAACCANTATATCAAAATTAAGAAATTTAGTAACATTTATGCACGTTTTTTATATTGATTAACGTAATTACTGTACATCATTTATATCAATTTAAATTATGCTCACAATGATAATTAATTTCGCAAATTAAAAACAAATAAAAAAAATTTAATATAAAATATTTGGCATTTTACTAATTTACATTGAACTTTGTTCTTTATACGAACTAACTGAATAGACACTGTATTTAATATATTTAACATTAAAACTATCGAGTAATAAATTTTAAATAATTTTTAGGCCTATTTTATCAAATTATAACTTACTATTTAAGTAACTATTTAGGCTGTTTTCCTAAGCATTATAGTGATTATTTGTGGTCTTATATTGACCTACAATGCAATGCTCTGGTCATGTGCTATATGCTAAACAATATGAGAGGATAATATGTTGTACATTATATCAATATTATAAATAAAATAACCATATGAACTTTATATTACTTTATATTATAAAGCACATACTTCCAGACACAACCATAACTTTTTCTTTCTTAAAAGTAGATTATTTTTTATTTGCCATTAACTGTAAGTCGAGAATAGACTTAATCTCTGTTTTGATGTAATTATAACTTTGAAGAATTGATTGAAGCGTTGGACAGGTTTTGTTGAGCGTATTTATCGGTTAACATTAGATAATGAGGATCCGGATCGTTGGCATCACCCAAATGGGGCGCATAATCAGCCCTTGAATAGTAATTCTCTGCCGGATTTGAGTACTCGTTATCCTTATAATTATTGTCGTACAAAACATCGGCGTAATTCTCTTCATATATAACAGAATCGGTTTGTCTATTGGTTTGCATTAATCTCTTCTGACGGATAAACAAATAGACAATAAATGGTATAACAATTAAAAGTATTAATGAACTAATAATTGAAACAATTGTCGAAATGTTTAAATCCCAGGGTTTTGTCCATCTTATGGACGACATAACAGTCGCACATATTTGGGCGCTCGACGTCCGGTCTTCGGTAGTATTGAATGTCTTACTAATCGAGTGATTGCTAACCATTTGATAGACTCTAACGTAATCGACAATAAGCGCAGAGCACTCCCAGTCGTAAAAGTCATTAATATTGAGCACTTGATTGGGAAAGAAGTTCCCGCCGACGCCTAAGTTGATGGCTATTTTGAACGGCTTTCCCACAAATGGCTCACCGTTTTGGGTGTAATGTGACGATAGTTTTTCACTTAAATTAAAAGTTAAATGATTTATGTCATCAAAAAACCATTTAATATGCGATTTATGCCACTCAACAGCGTATGTGTGAAACTGATTGAGACGTGTTTTAGCGATGTATTCATAGGCGACGGGTTTATATATGGCGGGCGATGTACTGAAGTGAACACCATTTCCCAGGCCTTGTGTCTGAATATTTGTCATGATATCGATCTGACCGGCAATAGCCCACTGGCCGGGAGAGAGTGACTCCATAACCATCACTGGTCTTAACATTTTGCCCTTCGGTAGAGCGGCTCTAATCTCGAAGCGGCCATAAGTCCAGCCCTTTTTGGTTTTAATTTTAGCCGAAGTGTACTCTTTCTCTAAAACATTCTCCTTTTCGTGAGCGGCTGTTATGGCGAGACAGCCGTCTATTAGTTGCAAATTTCTACTTTGGTTTACATTGCAATTCAGTTGTCCGATATGATTGCCTGACATCACAAACACAACGTATACTCGCTTTAAAACTTATTAAACGTAATCATTGATTATATTACAAACCAAAACAATTGCCACTTTGCCACTCGTCCTCCACTTCCCACACGTTTGGATCCAATTCTTTATCATTGAATTCTTCGCTCCAAACGAGATGTAACTTCTCTTCACATTTTGCATAATATATTAATAAAGCAATTGATATGATCTTAATTTTCATATTTGTTTGCACTCTTCAAAATGTTTAATGTCTAAATGAATGTGTCATTATATGTCTAACAAAATGTAAATTTTACGTGATTTATATCATATTGTAGTGTATATCGGGAACTAATCTAGACAATTGTTGCCAATTATTTAGGCAAAAAAATTCTATAAATAATATTCCGTTAAAAATATGTCGTTTTACTTACAATTTTATTTCCTTTGAAAAAATATTGTAAACGATATTCAATGCATAGGAAATGATTGTGTTATAAATTTAAACTAATGTTAATTATCCAATAAGTATTGGTATATTTTGGTACAATAATTTGTATCTAAAGTTATATTTTACGTGAGAGAGAGAGAGAGAGAGAGAGAGAGAGAG